ACGCTTAGGCCGCCCCTGCCAAACCCCAGCTAACTAGCCGTTAACGAAGGTTACAGAGTCCCTCCTTCCCTACCCGTGCGCCTGAAGGCGACGCAGACACGGTTCCGGGTAACGCACCGGTACAACGAAGGGGGAGCATTCCCGAATCCACGCCTCAGATCCCGGGCTTCCTCCCGCCAGTCGGAGAAGGACAAGAGAAAATGAGCACCAATCAGAATGTAGATATGGAAGACGACAACCCTTAGAGCCAATAGGAAGGCTAGAGGGCGGTGCCGAGGCCTCGGGTTCGCTCTTCTGGTTTAAACCGCGGCTTCGGGGCGGTTAACTGAGGCCTCGGCGCGTGGGCAGGCTGTGCGCCTGCGCGAGCTACGGGACGCTAACGGAAGCCTGCGGTGCTTGGCTATCCCGGACTCGGTGCGGCGAGCGGACCTTGGCGGGGCAGGTAAGTCGGCAGGGGCTGGAATAGGGGGCGCACGGGCCCGGGGGGGCTGGCTGCCCGCTGCTGTGGAGAGGTCGGGTTTTGAAAAGCGCTGAATGGGAGTTTACCCCCTGGCGGGGCTGGGAAACGCCTGAGATCCCTGCTGAACCCAGGTTTTCTGCTCCCCAAGGCAGGTGTAAGCTCTGTCGTGCTGTGCCCTTGGCATGTCTGAGCCCCTCGAGGTCACCGTGGGCGCCCACTGCCTGCCCGGTGGCTGCAGCGGCTGCACGGCCCAGAGGGCGGCGGGGGGCGGTGCCGCGGAGGGAGCCAGGCTCCCCGGAGGCCGCGAGCATCCGAGGCGACAACCACGCCCGGGGCCAGGTGGGCACACGATCGTCTTTGTTGTCTTGCGGGAACCAGAGTCTTCCCAACCCCTGGTTACGCCCTTTGTGAACTTCTAGGTGTCACGGTTCGTGCACCTCTCTCCCTAATGAGTTAGGATAGCGTGGAAAAGCGAAGAACCCTATAGTCCTCCAGATGAAAATACACCTTTTTTCGGATTATAGTTATACAGCCCCATTGTTTTTAGAAATAAATTTAAGAAGTACGAACGTACTTAAAAAAAAAAATACTAGATAATCTGCAAAATATAAGCTGCTCTATATTCTATGTGAAAGTTTCCCCCTAAGTAAAGGGAAAGGATTATCAGGTCTTTGTATTAAAAAGTAAGAATTTACAGTTACCTGTGGGCTTTACTAAAGTTTATACTTCTTATTTACGAATACCCATCTTCATACATTCAAGAAAAGGAATGAGAGTGCGTAATTTAAATGCAAAGAAGATAACAGTTTAATCACTGAATATATAGTACACATGCCATTAAAAAACAAGACAAAACAAAACAAAACAACGCTGTCAGGGCTTCCGTGTTGGAGATCTTCATAGCCCGGGCAGAGTCCTATTTCATTTCTGTCCCTGCTTTATTTAGCTCTTCAGTAGGTAGTTTTGTATTGCATGAACATTGAAATAAATGGTGTAATTCTTCTCACAGAGTACCATTTTATTTATATATGTATCTTACATATAAAATATATTGCATGTTATATATTCATATATAATGTGTATAATCTCATTTAAACCTCACCACCTATTGGAATAATTCCATTTTTCCAGTGAAGAAAGGAAGATCGAAGGACTCTTCGGTCAGTTATTAGTCCCTATCTTGAGTCAGAAGCTGAAATTACAATTACAAATTAAAATATGAAATTAAAATTACAAATAATACTTCAGATAACTTAGGTACTTTTGCAAAGTTACATTTTGGGATTCACCATTGCTACATCTATGATGATTGTCCAAAGTTTATCTATGATAACTACCAAAAAATATCATTAAATGCTTATTCTACTAGATTTTACTTAATATATTATTAAGACCTTGATCCTCTAACTCCTTTGCCTCTATAGAATCTCCCAAGCATGGCTTTTAGTGTTTTTTGTCCCATGTGTCATTTCTGTAGAGTTTTTTTGTTGTTTTTTTGTTTTTAGATTTTATTTATTCATTTGACAGAGCACAAGCAAGGGGAGTGGCAGGCTTTCTGTCCAGCAGGGAGCCCAACTCAGGGCTTGATTCCAGGACCCCAGATCATGACCAGCTGTCCAAATGACTGAGCCACCCAGGTGCCCCTAGAGTTGATGTTTTGTTTTGTTTTTTTTTTTTCCTTTTTAAGATTTATTTATTTGACAGAGATCACAAGTAGGCAGAGAGGCAGGCAGAGAGAGAGGAGGAAGCAGGCTCCCCGCAGAGCAGAGAGCCCCATGCGGGGCTCGATCCCAGGACCCTGAGACCATGACCCGAGCCGAAGGCAGAGGCTTTAACCCACTGAGCCACCCAGGTGCCCTGAATTGATGTTTTTTTAAATAGTGATTTCATAAACTCTGTTCTCTTTCCAGGTTTTTCTTTAACTTGAAAACTAATGGCAGTGGAGGTACACTGAAATAAGGTAGGAAATTAAAAAAATGAAATGTTTTGGTTTGTCCTTACATCAGAATTAAAGGAGAAAGCAATACTTTAAGAACATTCAGGGCATTATGAAATGTTGGTAAATCAGGTTCCAAAAACCAATGACCTGATTCAAAATCTAGATGACCTGGGTTGTGCAACTGGCTAGTAAGAATAAAGCTTAGTTATTTTGTACCACTATTTTCCCATCTCTAAGATCCATGAGGATCTTTTCCAGTTCCTACTCTGCTAGAATGTAAAAGCTATGATGTGTCTTCTTCAGTATGACAAGGTCACTTGACTTTTCTACTGTTTTACATTCTAAACCTGAAAGTTTTTCAGTGAAGTCTTGTGTCTTTGGCCCACCCACTACTAAGCTTCTGTGGCACTTACACAGCATCAGTTAACTCTGTACATGTTAATATTCTTTGTAATTGTCCCATATGTTGTCTTAGCTAGCAGCTTGAGGGTATAAACCATATTTGTATCCCTAGAGTTTTGAACCTAAGTAGGAACAATTTGTTGATTGGTAAGACTTTGAATCTCAAATATACAATATAATTCATAGATGTACAGAAGTGTTACACTCTGCAGTGATGAAAATTGAGGCAAAAGGTCTATGAGTTCATTTGATGTTTATTATTTTAATGGCTATAAGTTCTAGTGTATCATTTTAAAAGAACTTTGAACTCTTGAGTAAATACTGGTGTTAATATTTTGAGGGTTACTTATCATCTTTGAGAACAAAACCCCACCTTATTTTCCTGTCCCTTGTGTCTTAGATGTGCTTAAGTCTGAAACCTAGGTGTTACCCTGAAAGCCACCCTACTTTTGAACCTCACATTTAGTCAACCATGAAACCCTGTTTCTCCTTTCTTAATTTCAAAATTCATCTAATTCTTTCCATCCCCCTTACTATCAATCTGGTCTAGGCCATCATCATCTAATTCCTTGATTATTCTAACAGGCTCCTACCTAGTACCACGGTCTTGCCCTCTTCTAATCCACACCATAACCAGAGCAGTATTTCTGCATCCCTGCTTGTATTTTTTTCCAGTGGCCTCTCAAGATGAAAATTAAGCTTTTTTCAGGAGGCCTACAGGACTCTACAAACATGACCCTTGCTCCTTTCCTAAACTATGCTCTTGTCAGTGTCAAGCCATATTTATAGTTACTTGCAGGCAAAATGCTGCTCTCTCTCATGCTTTATACAAACTGCATCTTCTGCCTTGGACACACTTAAAGTTCTGCTTCTTTATCCCAACTTTAACTGGCTCTCCCTTGTTCTGCAAGATTTAGCTTGGAAATCTTTTTTTTTTTTTAAAGATTTTATTTATTTATTTGACAGACAGAGATCACAAGTAGGCAGAGAGGCAGGCAGAGAGAGGAGGAAACAGGCTCCCTGCCAAGCAGAGAGCCTGATGCGGGACTCGATCCCAGGACCCTGGGATCATGACCCAAGCCGAAGGCAGAGGCCTTAACCCACAGAGCCACCCAGGCACCCCTGGAAATCTCTTTTCTTTTCTTTTTTTAAAATATTTTATTTATTTATTCGACAGAGAGAGAGATCACAAGTAGGCAGAGAGGCAGGCAGAGAGAGAGGAGGAAGCAGGCTCCCCGGTGAGCAGAGAGCCCGATGCAGGGCTCGATCCCAGGAACCTGGGATCATGACCTGAGCTGAAGGCAGAGGCCTAACCCACTGAGCCACCCAGGCGCCCCTGGAAATCTCTTTTTAAGAGTTTTCCTTAAACCACTGTGCCACGGGGTGGTAAACTCTATGGCCTATTTTTATATGGCCCATGAACTAAGCTAAGATTTTTTTTTACATATGTACAAGGTTTTAAAGAAGAAAAAGTTGGGGGCACCTGGAAGGCTCAGTTAGTTAAGCATCTGGTTTCTGTCCTGATCCAGGGTCCTAGGATTGAGTCCCACATCGAGCTCCCTCTCCCCCTTCCTGCTGTTTGTGCTCTCTCAAATAAATAAAATCTATTTAAAAATAAAAAAAAAAAAGACTCACCAGGACTGTTTGTGGCTCACAGCACTAGACTGATAAGCCTTGTAAGCTTTATTCACTTAGGTCACTTTCATGTTGTAGTGTGCCTTTCGTAAACAAATGTACCAAATATTTAACTAAATTTCTTACTTTTACTTTCTCTCTTAAAAAATAAGACACTCAGGCAAAGCTCTTTATGAGAATTCAGATGAGTAGTGAATATCTCATTGTTTTTTTAAAAAGACAGCATAACAAATTAGATGCTTACAGAATCAGGCTTTAATAAATTTGAACACAAGGCACAGGTTCCCATGTGTATTTAAAGTCTCCATTTCACAATTGCTTTTTGCATCTATCTCTTAATCCTTTTGGGGAGGAATGAGAATGTTTGAACTCTTATTCAGGCTAAAACTTCCTTTATAGGGCTTAATAGTCTTTGGGTTTGCAGGGGGATGGTTTTTTTTTTTGTTTTGTTTAGTTTTTTCAAAGAACTAATCATCTGAATTTTAGGACTTGCAGTACATGCTGTGTTGTATTTTTCTGTTCACCTACCACTAGCTAGTTCTTGCCTCCTAGATCCTGTTAGGGTTAACTGATGCTTTTAATTTCTGTATCAACACAGACTCTCTTTGTTGGTTTCTCCAAAAGAGTATTTTCTTCTTCCATTGTATCATCACAGTCCCTTTTGGCTTTTGTTTCTTCCTCGTGGAGTAAAGGTGGGTGCTCGATGCGTCCCCTACGTACAAAATGCTGGATCCGGGATTCTAATCCTTGGCATTTAGGACGATCCATTAGGGGTTTATATGTGCGCATTTTCACTCCTTCTACAAAGGCACTGGTCTGCTTTATGACAGAGGGCTTAACATTTCTCCATTCTATCACTCCATCCATCTTTGGTCCTATAATATATACAATCAGATATTACACGGATGCATACCACAATAGAATCCCCTCCAAATGTTATATAACCTTCCTCCCCCCACAGCCCATATAACTTTGGTTCTAGTAAGTAATTGTATCCTAGGATTTTCCTGTCATACCTGTCCCACAGGGTACTGCAACAGAGTCCAGTCCTTGTAGCATGCTATACAACATGTGTGTTTTAACAGCATGATTAGCCCATAGTTGTTGTAGATGGGTAACATTGAACTCCTGAACCTCCCGGTCATAAATCCACTTGATATTTTCAAACTTACAATCATACAAGACTAGAGGAAATTCTATGGCCATACTAGAGAAGAAAAGAGATAAGAAACGAGAGTGTGAAAATACAGAGCAGCCATCTAACAGCCTTGTATTTTAAGAACAAGGTTGGGGGGGTAGGTAATTGGGTTAAAAGGAGGGGGGGAAACTTCATCAGTATCGAGTAAAAGATAAATTAAAAAAATGATCCCTCATCTTGAACAACTTTATAATTAAGAGAAAGAAAAAACAACAAACCATAGATCAACTAGTTAGGCTTGATCTATATTAGGGTAAATTTCAGTGGTAACAGGTCACCTACAAGTAAGCTGACTCGTCTCAACCATAATGCTATGAAATTATTTTTTAATATTTTTCCAAACTTGTTAATTTTCTATGGTATGAAGTAAAAAGTAGATTTCACTGCTTAGGAATGAATTGTTGGTTGATCTGACTTCAGCCTGCTCTTAAAAGAAAAGTCTGACTATTCTTTCCATCTTTCCTACCATTTCCAACACTGAACATTAGGAAAAATTCAGAAGTACAATAATGTAGAGCAAGGAAGATTTAATATGAATAGTTGGAATCCTTATCTTCAAACTTCACCAGAATCTAAAAATAATACCTCTCAGCATAAATTCAGGGGGAAAAAAATTTAGAAATGAATGTTACTTTATTTAAGGGGCCTGGTACCAACACCTATTTCTTACTAATGGTACAGAACAACGAGAGAAGATAAAGATAGCCCTCCTGTATGTTTATAACATTCTACAAGATAGATTAAATTCTTCATGAAGACAAAATAAGTGACCTAGTTAATCAGACAGTTGTTGGGAGAGGAAGATATATTAACCTTTAGTTATATAAAATGTTTAATATATTTAAAAATATTCTAAAGGCAACAGTTGTTTTGGTTTTTTTGTTTTGTTTTTAACTTACCTGTACTGAGGTTTCTGGGGGTTTTTCTCTACATTCAGGAGCTCATCAATAATCTCTGGCTTCTCCATTCCTTGGCCAATCAGAAAAAGGATAGCCATCATACAGCGGACTTGATGATAAAGGAATGCCTGGCCAATCACTTCAAACTGACATAACTGGAAAGGTTCTTGCCATGTCTCCTCATCCAGGGTCTGGCCCACTAGCTGTACTTGAACAGACAAAATAGTCCTCTGAAAATTTATAACTCCATTGGCTACATCCATTTTACATAAGTTCCTAAAATCATGTGTGCCAACGTACTTCTGAGCTGCATAGTTCATGGTTACAATGTCTAAATCAGCACGAGGGAAAAAATAGCGGTAAGTCCGCTCCAGACAGCTGAACCTAGCACTGAAGCTAGGTTCCACAGGGGCCCAGGCCAGCACACGGATGTCTGGAGGGAGTACCCGATTGAGAATGTGGGTATAGCGAATCTCTTTAGCAGCATCGTAGATGTCATCTTTTCCATTACAATCCTCTGAAGCCCTGCCCTTCAGAAAGTGGGAACGAAGATCAAGAGAAATCACCTGTGGAATTAAAGAAAGATGTTTGTTTTGGAGACACAATCTGAATTCTTAATATGTAACACCTAGAATATCTTGGTGTTGTTGGCTTTGAGAAAGAACATAGTGGCCCTTACCTGTCCGAAGGCACTAACTCCTTTGTCTGTTCGCCCGCACCGGTGATAGTTGGACGTCTGTCTGCTTTCTACTAGTCGAGTCTTTGTTAGAGCCTCAAACAGTTTCTCTTCAATTGTATTGTTCGTGTTCTCCTGACTGGCAAAGCCCTGGTATCCCCAGCCCAGATAGGCTATCTTTAGGGCTACATGTCTTCGACCATGAGCACTGAAATCAAATGCACGCTTAGCTTTTCCAGCTGCTAAAGAATTTTCTCTCACATTTGAATCTTTGTTGTTAGCCTGCTCTTTTTTAAGCCTTTGTACCTCCTGCTCCAGTTCTTGTACTCGTTTTAGGAGTTTCTCAGTCTGGGTTCTATCTATGTCATTTTCAGCCATGATAAGACAATCAGCCCCAGGAATAAAGGAATCATATAGGTCCACTCTGCCTGAAAAGAGAGTAAAAGGACACAACAGTTTCAATGTGAATTACTTTGGTGATGTCAGTATCATTGCATTATGTGCAAATAGTACCTAAGATTGAATTTAATGCCTAAAGGATATATTTTGCTTCTGTCCAGGGAGATAAGCATTGACTTAATTATTGTGGGTTGATCATCCACATTCTTCATTTCCATCCTGTCTGGCCAGTTCACAGGCGAAAAGGAAGGGGGGGATTAAGAAATAGCTGGTGTTAAAGTTTAGTCAGAATTTAGGGAAAATGTCTATAGATCCCATTTCTCTCTCTCCTTCATTAGCTGAGGTGATTTAAGGACTGATGTTACTGATATTTCTTCCTTAAAACATTTCCTTCTTATTTTTCATTATACTTGTCCAATCTTTCTAATCATAAAACTGTTTATAAAGAATATATGTCTACTCTTTTTCTACTAACTTTCCAATATTTCAGATAAAATTAGTAGCTTGTATGTTCTAACATCTAATACTCAGTTCTGTCTTTAAAGGTGCTACAGTAGACTAGCCTGATTGATGAAACTTATCAATGATTGTACTTCATATTAGAAATAAAGCCTGAAGTCAAGATTTTCCCACTCTAAGCAATTTTGATGGCAGAAAAAAGGTAATAAGCATCACTAGGCTTTTTTTTAAGATTTTATTTATTTATTTGACAGAGATCACAAGCAGGCAGAGAGGCAGGCAGAGAGAGTAAGAAGCAGGCTCCCCGCTGAGCAGAGAGCCTGATGCGGGGCTCGATCCCAGGACCCTGAGATCGAGACCTGAGCCGAAGGCAGCGGCTTAACCCACTGAGCCACCCAGGCGCCCCACTAAGCTTTTTTTTTTTTTTTTTTTTAAGTCAAACTGAATTTATATTTTGTAACTCTAGCAGTTAGTAGAGTCAGGAAAATGTAATTAAGATGTTGAAATTTCTGCTGTATTTCAAAAATATGGGGACAAATATACTATATCCTTAAATGTAGGACAGTGCTAGACAATCTATGACTGACAGTCACTTTAGTTATGGACTGTCTCCAAATCTCTGCTAAGGCCATGTTATCTAATTCGTGGCAGCTCATTTAATTTTTGGCCTTGAAGAGGCCTGTATCTATGTATCTATGATGATTAAAAGTTTAAATACAAAAAAAAAAAAGGAACTATAAAAGTACTAGAAGAAAACCTTTTTATAGTTTTGTAATGGGAAGAGCATTTCTAAGTAAGATCCTACAGAAGCACAGAAACTGTAGAAAACCAAAAAAATATGACTACCTAAAATTGAAAGTTGGACAAGCAAAAAATAAAATCAGAAGGTAAACAATAAACTTGGAAGAAAAATAATCATGGCAAAGGGCTAATTTGCTTAATACAGAACTATTTATATGCATATCACTGCTTTTCTGATGGTTTTGGATTAAGTCACTCATAGTTAAAAGCAAACTGCCTGAGTTAGACTTCCAACTCCACCACTTACTAGCTGTGTAACCTTGGGCTAGTTATTTAACCTTTCTGTGTTCCATGTTACACATCTGTTGAAAGTAGATAATAAGAGTACCAGTTCCTCACAGGTGAGGGATTACATGAATTAATAAATGTTAAGCACACAGAAGAATGCTGGATATATGTGCCCCTCTAAGTGTATGTCTATTAAGCATTATGCCCCATGTCATGTAATCACAACTTTTTTGTTTGTTTTTTTAAGATTTTATGGAGAGAAAGAAAGTGTGAGCAGGTACAGAGATAGAGAATCTCAATCTGACCCTGGGTAGATGAAGGCCCTGATCTCATGAGCTAAAACCAAGTCAGACGCTTAACCAGCTGGGCCACCCAGGTGCCCCAAGTCACAAGCTTTTTTAATGCCAGAACTCACTTGTCCTGTCCTAGGAGCTACTAAAGGTAGCAGGAACTACCAGGCATTAGAAAGTGGGAGCAAGGGGCGCCTGGGTGGCTCAGTGGGTTAAAGCCTCTGCCTTCAGCTCAGGTCATGATCCCAGGATCCTGGGATCGAGCCCCGCATCGGGCTCTCTGCTCAGCAGGAAGCCTGCTTCTCCCTCTCTCTCTCTCTGCCTACTTGTGATCTCTGTCTGTCAAATAAATAAGTAAAATCTTAAAAAAAAAAAAAGTGGGAGCAAATAAGAAGAAAGTGGAAATGAAAGCAGATGATGGATTCCCTGCAGCTGAGTTAATCTTCCTCCAAACTGTTATCATGTTACCCTGTACTATAATCTATATTTTATAACTCTTACATTTATGATTGCCTTAGCCATTCTTTCTCCATCTGACTACAATAAAATAGTACACAAAAAGGGAATGAACAGTTTAAGAACTGGGAATTACAGAAATCTGGTCGGTATTTTTTTCTTGCAGAAGGTCCTACAGTGAAGGGGAACCAATGGAGGAACTCACGGGACCCGATGGACAAAAATGGGCCAATATGGATCCAGAAGAACGAATGTTGGCCGCTGCTACAGCTTTTACCCATATCTGTGCAGGGCGGGGTGAGGGAGATATCAGGAGAGATGGCCAGCCTATCCAGTATGATCCCTACAGTAAAGCTTCAGTAACCCCAGGAAAGCGACCTGCTTTTCCTATGCACCTGCAGTACCCACACATAGAAAGTAATGCCACTTCAGAAACAGTCTCCGAGGCCTCCCAAAGACTCCGAAAGCCAGTGATGAAGAGAAAGGTGTTGCGAAAGAAACCAGATGGGGAAGTATTAGTGACCGATGAGTCGGTTATCAGCGAATCAGAGTCTGGTACAGAGAGTGATATGGATCTCTGGGACTTAAGACAAAGGCTGATGAGTCTACAGTTCCATGAAGACAGGGAATCCCCAGCTGACATTTCACAAAAACTTAATCTACCACAAGAGTACCAAGGAATTTCTCAAGATCAGCTCATTTGCTATCTACGAAGAGAAGAAATGGGCCCTCCAGCTTATGAACAAGACCTGATTGTTGCCAGCCGACCCAAGTCCTTTATCCTCCCAAGGCTGGACCAGCTGAACAGAAACCGAGGCAAGATAGACCGGGTAGCCCGATATTTTGAGTACAAACGAGACTGGGACTCAATGAGGTTACCTGGTGAAGATCATAGAAAGGAGTTACGCTGGGGTGTCAGAGAGCAGATGCTTTCTCGAGCAGAACCCCAGTCCAAACCTCAGCACATCTATGTTCCAAACAATTACTTGGTGCCAACTGAGAAGAAAAGATCTGCCCTTCGTTGGGGTGTTCGTTGTGACCTTGCAAATGGTGTCATGCCCAGGAAGCTTCCCTTCCCTCTTTTTCCTTCTTAAAAAAATGTTTTTAACCTCTTTTATGGGATTGTTTGGGGATAACCTCGTTCTTTATCTCTGTCCTTCTTTTTAAATAGAAACAACTAACTTGAAAGCCCATGGAACATTACACAATAAGGACCTCACCCATCACTGGTCTTTCCTAGGTCTTTATCACATTGGTATCAAATACCACTTCCGCTTCCAAATTACCACTCAAATCCATTAATTGTAAGAGAAAGCCACAGACCTACTCTTTCCCTTTGTCAAGATAGCACTGTTTCTGTTTTACACTGTTTTTAATCTTTGGCCAATGTGAGTTGCTGTTTTTAAAGTTGCTGGGCATTAAGCTTATTCATTAAAGAATTGAGATTTTGTGAGCTTGATCTTATTTTTACTTATTAATACTTCCCAAAGTAAGATAATCTCAAAACTGGTCATGACTCTGCCTCTAATCATTCTCCCCATCATACTCTCACCATGTGAATATCAAGCCAAAGGAAAGGAACAAAAAACTCTCCTTTATGTACACAATCCTAAAGGAATGAAGAAAAGTAACAACATATCTCCATTACTAAAGAAACATAGTAAATTCAGAAAATTTAAATGCTTTTTAATTGATACTCAATAACCATATTATATGCCATACAGGATTCTAACCAAAGTTTTATTTCAGAATTACTTCAATAATTTATTGCCCTCCAACTGTCACTTCTAGAATACAGTGATTTTTACAATTTGCCACTGAGATTTTCTTGCAAATTATGCCTGTCACTCTGAAAAAGAATTTACTAACATCTGGAACTAGATGTAGACACAAATACCAAAATGAACCTGGCATATTTGGGTATGGACCAAAACACTAATTCTGTTCACCTTAAATTGGACCTATTCTTGATGCTTCTGATGCAGTGAGGAACATCTAAAATCTGGAGGTTGTGTTTTAGCACTTGAAGCAATTAGAGTGAGAGCAAAAGTAGTTAGCTTGTTCAAGGGAAAACAGCTGTGTAAAGTAGAAATGAGTAACTGCCCATGACCATTACTATCCGCTAAAATGTATCCTCTCTGTAATATTTAAGCTACATCATTCAGTTCCACTGCAAGACATTTATTGGGAAAGAAATTGTGACTCAAAGATAGATGTAGGATATGCTCACTGCAAATAAGTAAAAACCGCAAACTCTCCAACAATAGTGAAATGATTAGATAGAATATTAGCCATTGAAAATAAGGGGAAGCTAATAAAGTGCAAGTTAAATGAAAAAGGCTGTAAACTATACGGTCGCAGACGTGCACATATAAAGCACAAGGAAAAATCAAAACGTAGTGGGATTAAAGGTAATTTTTATACTTTTAAAAAACTTAAAAGCCACACTGCATTTTTATATGCAAATTACACCTAAGACCTACCTCCTTTATATTATCTCAAAGCCCAGTAAGTACCAACACAAAAAGTTTTCTGCGATCACTTTAACCATTATTTAACCAAAGAATTAGTCCAAAGGGCTTAAGCAGGTGGTTAAGATCTGTGGCAAAAAGAGGACCTGAGCCTACAGAGCTTCCTCCAACACAACACCGCATGCCCTAAGCCGATCTAACGCTTGCAAAGGGGCTGCCGAATTACAAGGAACTGGTGCGTGCGCTGAGCATCGACTGTAAACATCAACTATCGCTGGAGTTTCAATACGTTTTTTTTAATGAAAAAAGATTTAAATCTCAAAATATTAGTAACGGAGTAAGAACGCATTTTCAACGATAAACCTTATTTTAAACCAAAGAGGGAAGGAGGAGCAATAGCCAAAGGACCAGGAGACACGCACTTATGACCAGTAACAGTGAAAAAACAATCGCGTGGAAGGCAATCTCCCAATTTGAAAAAACTGGCCACGCCTCCCTCCCCACATACTACTGGAATCCAGACCTCTACTAGTATTTAGTTTTATGAGCAAACAAGAGACAGCAGAGACTTCAAATCCAAGGGCCCTCTAAGAGTCGAACTAAGTTCCTACTGTTGTGAGTTTCTGCCAGAGTTTCCAAAAGCACCAGATACAAAAACAGGGTCCTAAGCAAGATCCCACTTCCACCTATCAGTGCTTTGAAGATCAAGGTATGGAAAAGGGGGAAAAAGGTCCAGCTTTTTGTCCGTTTATCCGTTCCTCTTTGTATAACCCAGAAAATAATTCACCCCCAAGTCCCCTTACTTACCTTCCGGTTGTCGACCACGCAGCTTTTAGCGAGACCGGAAGCTGTCTCTCAGCGTCTTCAGCGCGCGCTCCCAGGGTCTCATGGGAAATGTAGTCCACCCTGTGGGAAATGTAGTCCACCCTGTGGGAAATGTAGTTCCAAGAGAGGGAGGTGCAGGCTTGACGCTGAAATCTGCCTAATATTTTCTAGTCTGGCCACTACTTCTCCACCTCCAACAAAATAGAATCTGGGGTCTATGGTAATACAAGAATAAAAGGATAAATTCCAGTGCTATAAAATAACGGAAAAGCAGTTTTTCAAATGTCTGTTATCCTTATATGAAAATTAACATTAAAGAACCCGGCCCGATTTTATACCTTCTTAACTTAGTAGAAAGTTATCATTGTGAGACAAAAACATTTGCTACTGGAATCCACATGGGAAATCTGAAAAGGAATTTGATTAACCTCAAAATAAACGATTGAGGTGCCTGAGAGTGACCCAACGGAGCTGGGAAGTCTTGCTTTCAGCACCACGGAGAGATCATAACTAAGTTTTTGGTTTGTGGGTTTTTGAAGAGATGCTGATCCAAATCTCAGGATTCCAAGCAGAAAACTGAAGAAATCTAGTTCTTTTGTCCAAATTTAGCAGTCAGTAGTACAAGGAATCTGTGTCGGATTATGCAGATACGGGTAGGAGGTGGAGGTTGTACCGCAAGGAAAACAGTTATCTCAGGACTGCATTAGCAAAGGGCACATACCAGAATTAAAATTAAAGCAAGCCGGTGTGTGGAAACATCACAGGTATTAGAACAGGGACAACAGTTAGAACCTGAACGACTTTACTTCCTTTCAGCATCTTTCGCATTTGAATTAATTTGTCAGCTGAAACTCACCAATTCTGACCCTCTACTTTCCTATGAAATTCTCTGGTCTTTCTGACATCATGTAGTGTATAAGCGGATATTTCGGGGAAACATGGGCAGGAGTGCTGGAAGCCACGGGGCGGGAGCCGGGAGAGGGGAGGGTCCGGCCTCATCGCCCGGAGAATCGAGTAGTAAGTGTTGGGTAAGGGAGGTAGGACTTCCGAATCAGTGCGGCTTACAGTGTCAAGCTGTTGCTGGCTTAGCAAAGGCCAGGAGCAGGCGTGTGTTCACGACACTGGCGCTGCGTGGCGGGTTCCTGACCCCCGGCGCCCACGCGCCGCTGCCAGATGGCGGACCTGCCTCTGAATTCTTCTCCCGCAGCCCCTACCTCCTCTCCTGGCTCCGCCCACCTCCCTGGAGCTCGCGCGCCTGCGCGCCGCGTCGCGGGTGGTCGAGGGCGCGTCAGCCCGCCCCCGGAGGAAGCCCATTGGCCGCTGGATGGAGCCCGGCACTGCCTCGTGCCGGGGGAGGGCGCACGTGCTGGGGGCGGGAGCTGCGATCGCTGCTATGGCGTCGTTACTTTGGGGAGGCGACGCCGGGGCGGCGGAGAGCGAGCGGCTGAATAGTCATGTAACTGCCGCTGAACCGGGGAGGGAAAGTGGGCGGGGGTCAGAACCGCACTCCGAGAGGGAAATCTGCCGGGAAGGGCGGGAGGAGAGAGCCCCGCTAGCGTGTGGAGTGGGGTGTCAAATGGTGTTGGGGGGGGATGTGGAAAGGATGTGGGGGAGGGCCAGGGGCAGGAGACCCCGAGAGGGACGCAAGACCTTTGGTTTGAAAGGGCGAAATGAAGACCCCTAGAAGTCCCGAGATAGAAAGGAGCTGACAGTCCCAACTAGACCTTGGAGTTTTCTGCTCTCCCAATTTGACCATTGAGCCTCGGCTAGCTTCCATCTTACCGACCACCGCGCTTTGCTATCCACCATCCCTTCCTCGTGCTGTGACCCCCAAGGACTGCCACACTTAGGTTAGAGGACTATAAAGAGGAGCTTAAGGTACAGGGGCAGCAGAAAAGTCTCCTTTGATTTTTAGCGTAATTCATAGAGGTGACCTCTTCCTGAAAAGAATCCAGTGTCAGAATTAATACCTGACACGGCAAAGGAAACAGTATTCGGGTGGGTCCCTCCCTGCTAAGGGGGAGCCCTGGGCTGCTTGGTGACTTGCTTCCTAATGTTGGTTGAAATTTGTGTCTTTCAATAGTTTTCAAACCTCATCCATCCCCGGAAGAACCTTCGGGGTATTAAGAGTACTACAGTCCCAAACATAGGTGAGTGCTGTTAGATAAAGCAGACTGGCCTCAATTAATTTAAAATAAAAAACAAAAAACAAAACATTGCTTTCCTCAGGTCTCTGGCAACTGAAATGCCTCTGGCTCCTATTAACTGTCACGGTGCTCCGCTACCTTCCCAGTCTTTTAACCCACTCCTTCACTGGATGACCCTTGCTGTCAGTGCATACTGTGGAGGTGGTGAGAGATCATACACTTTACATTTCTGTTGGTATTTATTATTTCTCTTCCATTCTTTTAGATGGGTCTATTAATAACACGGAAGAAGATGATGAAGATGTAGGTAGGAGATAAATTTATTCGCATGGAAACTAGCACTCATGATTTTCATAATGTGAGCAAATAATATAATCTCAATTGGAAAAGAGCGGTCTTTTGTTTTCTTTATAAGTAGTGACTATCAGGAGAAATACTAAATTAGGATTAGCCATATTTCTTTAGGGGAAGTTGAAATGGAATATGCAGGAATGGACTAAGAGTTTTCAGCTGGCAAGGAAAAATTAATTCTGGTGATGATAGAAGTAGGCTTGCTTAAGGTCGGAGGTTGGTATAACAGCAGAGCATAAGAAACTGGATTCTCGTGTAAAAAAGAATTCGCAGTGTTATGTCATTCTTTCTAGAACCTCCTTTTAGAGGAAAGATGAGAGTAGGAGCAGTTGCTTGATATACAATCTCTGAATGGGAAGGACCAATTTATTAGATTCATTTGGGAGGCTGGATTTTCTCCTGCAATATCATCCTTTTTAATTTTTGCTTTTCTAGTGGATTTGGCAGCTAATTCACTCTTAAACAAGTTAATCCGACAGTCCTTAGTAGAATCCAGTCACCGAGTTGAAGTCTTACAAAAGGATCCCAGCTCTCCACTCTACTCAGTGAAAACGTTTGAAGAGCTGCGGCTGTGAGTACTTTTACTCATTTATTGTGGGAAAATGCCGGAAAGAATGGTACCAAACAAAATAATCTGCTAAAAATAAAGACTCTCAGAATCCTCTTAATGTTCTAATATTTAATATTAAAATGAGATGTGTACATTTTGCATGCATTTGAAATACAATTCAGAAAGGAGCAGTAGGATACCTGAGTGTTCAGCAAATTGAGAACATCTTGATGGTAAAATATTCTAACCTTATGCTAATGGGGATAGCTAAGCTCAACATAACCATATTGCTATTCTCCATACCGTAATACAGATACGGGGACACTGATGGCCCAAATAACTTCCCTCAGCCCCTTTAGATGAGTTAGAAGCTGTTACCTTCCTAATTATTATTTTGTTTCAGACGGTATTAAAATGAATAACTTTCCCAAATGGGTTTGCATTTTCGAGGGATCTATCAACTAGCATTAAGGAACTGCATTTTAACAGGAAGAGTTACTAATAGGGACTTATGTAGAGGGGAAAAATCCAAAACCCCAATGCCCCAACAATTTCTAAATGAAAGAAGCAGCCTACCTGTGATTAACAGTTGGCAGCCAGTAATCTGCCAAGTAACCAAATGCAAAACGTACATGTCATTGAAAGTGGAAGTTTTCCAACCTATGTCATTTTCTCTTCTTTCTGTCAACTATCATGAGATCTCAGGAAAGATGTATTTAAAAATGCTGGCTCAGGGGTGTGTGAGTTGCTTAGTCAGTTAAGCATCCAACACTTGATTTCAGCTCAGGTCATGATCTCAGCATCATGAGATCAATGAGCCGTCCATTGGGGTCTCCGCTGGGCCTGGAGCCTGCTTAAGATAGTCTCTCTCTGCCTTTGCCCCTGCCCCCTAACCCCACCCGACTTGTGTGTCTTCTCGTTCGCTCTCTCAAAAAAAAAAAAAAAAAAATGTTGGCTTAGAAGGATGAGGTAGTATTGTGTCCTCTGCTCCTAGACAGAATTGATGTTAAGAATTACCTCAATAAAACTTTGTCTTCTCTGAAAATTGCTATTAAAGAATCAAAGATTGTCATTCATTAAAAAGAATTAAACAGTATGGGGCTCTGGCTGGTTCAGTTAGAAGAGCATGGGACTCTTGATCTGGGGGTCATGAGTTCAAGCCCATCTTGGGTGTAGAGATTACTTAAAAATAAAATCTTAAAAAAAATAGAAAGAAACAGTAAATCTGTTTTCTGCTTGTGTAGAAAATAAGACTCTTCTGACAAATTTATATACTTCTATCAGATGAGTTTTTCCTTTTTTGCTTGGTTCAACCGAAAGTTCAATGTTAGGCTATTAATACTGTCCTCAGCCTAAGCTTATAGCATAGCTTATTATTTGAGTGGTCCAACTATACAGGCACAATTGTGTATTTTTGGGAGTCAAGGTGTAAATTGTATATTTCTAAATACTGAAGCCCCATTGTAGAGTGGCTTAATTTAGAAATACACCTTTTGAGTCTGTATTTCTGAGGCTGCTGACCAATTGTAGGCTTTAAGTGTGTGCTTTTTCTTTTTTCTTACAGGAAGGAAGAGCTATTAAAAGGGATCTATGCAATGGGATTTAACAGACCATCCAAAATCCAAGAGATGGCTCTCCCTATGATGCTGGCCCACCCGTGAGTTTCCAGGGCAGTGCTGTTCCAACTTGGTTTTTAGTCTCCTGTATGCAGTTTATGCCCAGGTGTCTCTTCTTTTCTACAGACCCCAGAACCTCATAGCCCAGAGCCAGTCTGGAACAGGAAAAACAGCTGCTTTTGTCTTGGCAATGCTAAGCAGAGTCAATACCTTGGAGTTGTTCCCACAGGTAAGGAAAGGTTGATGGAGAGAGGGGAATGCTTGCAGTGCTCGTGATATTTTAGTAGTGGGAGGTACTACTGCCATGCTATGATAGCATGTAGAATAGGCATTCCTTGTCAAAATCACAGAGCATTGGGCAGCAGGATGGAATGGTGGTGGGAGCACAGGCTTTATAGTTTGACCTATTCCAGTCCCAGTCT